CATATATGTCTTTGTTTATAAGAATCACATGTAATGGTTAACTGGACCTGTACTTATTAAGGGCCTTGTAAAACGGTGTTCTGAAACGAGACCCCGAAATCCGGCGACACCAAAGTCCACGGTCTTCGCATGTCACGGATCCGAGCAGACAGAACCCGCCGACACCACTTCACTCCTGGGACTGTTGAGCTTCTTCCGTTAAGGCCAGTGGTAAACCTGCCGGCGTGGGCGGGCCCGGCCCGTGGGGTGGTACGGTGAGTCACTGCTAGGCTATATCTATTTGTAATTAAAGTAGGTTAATTTCCTAGGTCATTGTTATTGTTCCACCTTATTTACGTCGTTTATTTACTACTTTACACTCTTGCTCCCTTTCTTCCCACACACTCAATAACACACAGTGGCACCACACACCTATGCCCCTGACCCTTGGCTCCTGCTCAACCTCGCGCGGCAATCTACGCCAGCCTTCGCTCCGCTCTTCATCTTCTGTTCTCTCTCTGTGTTTGTCTTGCTGACTTTTCTCGCACTCAAGCAAGTAATCTCTCATCAACTCACCTTGCGCGCGCTGTCTGAACCCGCGCTAGCTAAACTATAAGAGTGTTGTGCCTTGTGCAAATACTGACACATGAAGGCCCAAGAACTAGATAGATGCTACCAAAAAGGGCTGGATGGGTGGATGGGTGGGTGGGTAGATGGTGGTAGGTAGGTAGGTAGGTAGGTAGTTGGATGGATGGATGGATGGATGGAGGTAGAGACAAGGTGGCGGAGGGGAGCAGGTAACAAGCACATGTAGGGGAAAGAATGTGAAAGTAGATTAGGACAGAAAACTGGATGACTCAAAGGAGGTTTGTTTAAATACATTGTAGTGAGTTTTTCTAATAGTCGTGTTATACTAACCGCTGCTATTTCACACAATAAAACTGTACAAATACACAAATTCCAATCACTTCTAGGTTGCTGTTTTTATATAGCTGTATATAGCACTGGACCAGATCAAGATTTAGTTGCATTTAGCAGTTTGATTGCAAAAACTGAAACCCCTTGACTCAACAACATTTGAAGGAGAAACTACGATGGTCGCAATGATCGCAAAAAACGTGAATGAACATATCTACAGCCAGTGTTTGGTTTGTCCCTTCTGGGCTACTGTAGAAACATGGCAGTTCAACATGGTGGACCACTGTAGATAAAAACATCTAATTCTAAAGTTAAAAAACATACTAGTTCTGATTTTCAGGTGATAATACACTAATGAAAACAAACCTATGAATATTATATTCAATTTCTAACAATAGATCCTCCTAAATGTTACACACTGGCCCTTTAAGCTATTGTAAATGAAAGCCTTCCAGGTAAAGGTAGATTTCAATGTGAAACAATCTGTAAAGTAATAAAAACATAAACTAGACATAAACTAGAAGTGATTAGAATTAATTAGTGATTTAGTATTTCTAAGTATTTGTAGCTTAAAAGGGCCAGTGTGTAGGATTTAGCAGCATTTAGTGGTGTAGTTGCAGATTGTAACTAACTGAACACAGCTCGCGATTGTTTTTGAAGACCTGGGAATGAGAACAGGCTGTGTGTAAATGACCCTTCCAAAAAAAGGTGAAAGTCCTTATCTAGAGCAAGTATTTGGTTTGTCCATTCTGGAGTTTGGTCCATTAAGACTTTGAAAGAGCATATGTTGATAAACTGTTGTGTGTGTCAGTTATGTCCCTTCAATGCTCATCTACAGCCAGATGTCCCAACTAGAAGGAAGAATCATCTGTCCCAAGAAAGGAAGCACTCTACCCAAAAAGCAATATGTTTGATTTAAGTCACCAATAATCTCTGTTGGTAGATTTAGATGGGTTTATATTTGTTCTCATTTGCAGTATCAAACAATATATAATACAATTGCTCAGTAAAGAAGCTTGGAGGACTGCCTCTAGGTTTAGAATCTAACATGCACTGCAAAAGATTGAAAAAAAAAAAGTTTAAAAAATAGAAAACTTAGCTAGAACATACTTAGTGTGAAGTGTAACAACACTTACTCATGATTAATACTACACTTTACTCCGTTGGTTGTGTTGCTGAAGAACTCAAAGTGAACTAATCTGAGAGAACAAAAGCCTGAAACAGCAGTCAGAAGTGGCAGTATCAGTGGCCAGTGAAGCGATAACACTATTTACTGTGGAAATGAGTCACAACTTGTACTCTGACTACACTGCACAGAGTAAATGTAATATGAGCTGCATGAGTGATGAATAGTTTTCTTTTGTAATTTAACTGTATGAAACAATACTGACATTTTATTTAGCTCTTTAATTGTAATGTGTGTGAGGGGCTTTGAGCTGGTGGTAACACACCCACTGCTGGTAGCATTTGAGGTATTCAGCAGTTAGCTGAATGTGTAAAGGTAAAAGCTGGCAATGGAAGTGTTTTTTCAATGGCAGTGCAAAAAAGCAAGCAGCACTATGTCAGCTAACCTTGAAATAAGCTTCTATGTCTGTCTGTTCTCTGTGTTGTTTCCAGTGGCATGCAAAGAGCATAAAGGTGGAAAGACAGGTGCAAACTGAGGCAGCACAAAGCCAGGTATTACAGGTATTTTGACTTAGAGGCAGAAGCAGTTCTGTTGCAAGATGATACAAGTAGAGAGACCGGTTTGTCAAGTGCTGCTGTTGTAGTTTAGCTATAAACATTAACAAAGTCTATCTAGGGAAGAGGTTGTGGTGGGCAAATGGGTTACAAACAGGCCTTTCCCCTGGAAAACTGGATTTTGAGTCCCAACCTGGGAGACTGGGAAAGTGTAGATTTTAGAAACAATCTTTAATGGTTAATGTTGACATATCAGGTTTAGGAAACAAGTTTACTTGGTTAGGTTCAGTAAAAGATTGTGGCTTGTCTCTGCCAAACAGGCTATGGTGCGGATTCCATTGTTTGCTACGAACACCTATATACACAGACATACACACACAATGAAATACACACGGCAGTGCACAGGAGGTGAAAATGGCACCTCATCCAGCGTACCAGTCCACACTCCGTATTGTGGTCTGCAGAACTTAAATCAGTTCCCAAGCCAAGTCCCTACAGACTGAACTACTTCCGCCCCTAATGTTATAAAGCATCACTATCAGCACAGTATAATTTAAGAATGTTAACATGACATACAAAGGCTTACCAGATGAATAAATTAATTAAACAATAAACTTTATTTATGCTGAGGAGTGAAGCATCCTTGCGACGCAGTTGTTGTGCCTTGAGGTAAATCACCAATCACTCAACTGGATGATATGTAATAAACTGAATGAGAATAATTCTTTGTGCACAGTAAGAGTAGGAGGTAGAAAGTCAGACTGTATAATGGTAAAGACTGCTACTCACCCTCAGAATTCCAGATGAGACGAACAGCCAGGAAGTCCTGCAAGTTGTTCAACAGGGTGTATTTTACCCAGAAGTTCTCCAGCGGCCTGACAGCACTGGGACAGGAAGCTGTCATCACCAGCCGAGGACGATACAAGCGGATACTGGGCAATGAGTAACAACTAGAGATGTATCTGGAGACAAAGCAAACAGGCATTTTAATTTTTCTTTAATTCGTCTTTTTCATCAGAATTTTCATAGCAGAAAAAGCACAAATGAAACTAATTTTGTTAATGAAGGGTCAGGCTGTCCCAGTGAGACACCATTGAGCATGCACAATTCCAGCACTCGCTCACCTAAATGGAATACATTTGTTTTTAATGTTATCACTGAAACCTGTGCTTTTCCTGCTATGACATGTTCATAACCCTAATCCTACTTGAAATATCTCATAATTACCTTGTGAAAGGCAGTGTTGGAGTGTACCATTGTAGCACAGCCACCAATGGGACTTCCAAACCCTGTAGAAAAATATACAATAAACTTATTACGATCATGGGACATTAGGACATGGTCCTTAATGAAGGAGGGCTAGGGTTAGGGCTTAATGCTTAAGACATCAATTTCAAGCAGTTTAAGCATTACTCTTTTTTTTTTTTTAAAGAAGAAAGACAATATATTTGTGAGCCTGAAGTTTCGAGGTCTAAGAATAATAAGAATACCGTACTGCTTTTTAGTTAATGGCACACAATCATGTTATGTCTTCCTGATCAATGATTGCCATTGGTATATAGACAAAGAATTTAAGAAATAGGGATTGAGTGTCCTTTCAGTGTGCCTCTCCACCCACAGGAAACTGGCTCTGTTCTGGTTCAAGCATCTAGACATAAATTGGTTTCAGAACCTGAAAAGTTTGTTCCCAGCTGGAACCACAAAATATCCTGTTGTCCTTGGGAACCAAAGTGGGTGTCATATTCTACAGGTTGTTGTGCACTGTGCAGCACCCTCTATGACCACTCAAAACTGGTGGAAACACGGGCTAGTTCGCTAGATAGCGCCACGGTTCCAAGAATCTCAAATGGAACCGGTTCAAAATCCAGAACTAATTTGGTGGAAGAAGGGCCAAGGTGGACCAATTCAAGTTTCTGACATCTGTCACTTTTTGTTGTTAAGACACTTTATTTAACTGTTTTGCTCATCTGTCCAATGTAACATTACTGTTAACTAATTACTAACACTTGTCTCTATTTTGATAGCCATTTGTGCTTATTAAGCCACCTTTTACTATGAGCTAGTAGTAGTGAGACGTAAAAAAAAACCGGTCAGTTTTAGCTCCACTTTCTACGCTACTTCATGCTGTTTAGGTTCATTAGTAGAAGATATGTCAGCTCAATTTATGTAAATGGTAAATGTACTGTACTTATATAGCACCTGTGTAGTCTTTCGACCACTCAATGCGCTGTACAGTTCCCACATTCATGCACTGATGGCAGTGGCTGGCCATGCAAGATGCCAACTGCTCACCAGAACAAAAACTAAGCATTCACACACACTCATACACCAATGCACAGCAATTTGGGGTTCAGTATTTTGCACAAGGATTGAACCGCCAACCTTCCATTTAGTGGATGATCCACTCTACCTCTGAGCCATATGTGAATTATTAAGGTTAAAATACCCTCTGGTGCCTGCAGTATTTCAAGTGGGCAGACTGTCAAACCAAACTCTATTCTAAAAGCTGGTGTGTAAGGCCATCTTTTCTCACAGTATAAATATATATAATCTTCAGTTACACCATCACTAAGATGCTATATTAATTTCTCTTCAATATACAGATACAATGAGGCACACATGTCAGTAACATCATTAACTAACATGTAAGTGTTTGTCACAGACATACATATAGTATGGCTGGGTCCCTCTCTTTACCATGTTTATCCTCTGCAAATGGTCTGAAGCCACAGATCGCTTCTTTTACTGTTCTTCACTCTTTGGGAAAGTGAAGAAAATCATGGGAAACTGGGATTTTTGTTATTGTGTGATGTGCAAAATGCGACACAGCAGCTTTTAGGAATGATGCCACTCGTTTTTTTAGTTTGGCAATGGCCCTTTTACAGCGCTTGCTTTCACCCAAAAGGGGATATGGTCGTTCCTGCTCTCTTCAATGTGCTTGCGTCCAAACCACAGTGGTTTGCAAAAGTCAGGATCCCTTAAGGAACAACTAGCAGTGTGACGCAGCATTTAAAACAAAAACATGGACACCTGCTTCAGAGGGCAGCATAGATGCTGCTAGCATCAACTATAAGGATGTAACAATACACTCACGATTTGATACAATTCACAATACGATTTCTTACAATTAAAAAAATTAGATCGAAATAAAATTATAACTTAAAGACTTAAGTCTTTACTTGTCAGACAACATCTACATTGTTCTCTTATGTTTTCTTACATACATACATTCTTATTAAATTAAAGAGTCTATCTAGAGTTTATTACTGAAGTAGGGTATAAACTGCAAAACACTGTATATTTCCTTTTCTTTGTAAAAGTTACGTTTTTTCTTATCAGTTCTATCAGAACTAGAGAGTATTTCTTAATTGGAAGAAGAGCAAATATCAACACTTCAAGGCTTTTCTCAAGGCTTTTCTTAATGGAAAAGATGTTTTCACTCTTCTCCCGACTGGCTTACTGGTTTCTTGAACCAATCTGTTCAAGCCTGTGATAGTAATAGACGGATGGTTCATTCAAATTACATCACTGCATCAGTATTTTTTCAAATATTGCCTGACAACCTTCCTGATGGTTCTGTGTAATAAACCATCTGGCGCAGTTGGGTCACTTATCTGTAATCTGTATATGAATATATGAATAATTCAGCAAATTTTTTTATCCTACAAAGAAAAAACATTACAGGATTAACTGGTGGGGACAGGGAGCCCTTGTCCAATATGTATGAGGCTGGGAGTTTGTGTATGGGTGGTTTCTATAGGCCATGCAGCACTGCAAAAAAGGAATCTCAACAAAGTAACAAGGTCTTGTTTCTGGGAAATGAGTCTAAACAGAAAAATTTATTAGAATTAGATTCTAATAATTTATAGAAAAGTAATCTGTTAATAATAATAATAGAAATAAATTATTATTTTTATTATGCAGTTTTGCTAATAAAAAGGGTACACATTCTTAAATTCAGCTCAATAAAGTGACCAAAATACTTATTTTAAGAAAGTCTCTCTTAAATAAATTAGTTTTTATTGCTTGTAAGAAGCACCACTTGCTTAAATTTTTGTCCTTTTTTCTACTTTTAAGGCCTGTTACAGTCTTTCAGTGGCTAGATTCTTATGCTAGTTTTACGAATTCTGGCCAAGCAAAATTGGCTTACCCCATTTGCAGATTATTTTACTAAATACAAGACATTTTTATTATATTTAAGAATATTTAGCTTGTTTCTAGAAGGGCTGGTTTTGCAGTGTGTCAACTGTTTTCATAGGGACTATTTCCTCAGTAGAAAGAATTCGCCCTCAGGGGAATCTCCACTGTGTCGTTCCATTAGTCTGAAAAACTGAAGTGAACTTGGTGAGATGGACCCTTGGAGGGCTGAGGGAGCGAGTGAACAACGATGGTCACTCCGAGGTGGATATCACCCACAATGCATTGCAGTTGTGCAATGGTTAGGCACTATAATGTATGTCAATTTTAGGGAGAATGCACATTTATCAACATTTCAGGTTACAGAGAAATATTAATGTGTTAATAAGATCATTTTCATCCCTATGAAAATCATGGATTAAATTGCTTTTAAGTTTCAGTTTTTCATTGAAATGAGTGTAGATGGTTTGTAAAAAGCAGTATAGCACTGGTGGCCAATTTCTGATAGTTTGGGCTGAAAGTGTACAAGGGCAAGTGATTTCCATTTAAATCCCGTGCAGCTACCCGGCCCATTTTCCCTTCACAAGTGGCCTTGGTGTGAGATATACTGTTACATAATAACAAGGGCTGAGCGTAAAGTGAATGAGGGGAAGTGGAACTACTAATGAAACGCAGCTATTGTGTTCTGTGCATATGGACTGTCCAGAGTAACAGTGACACAGCTTTTGGAACAAGGTGTGCCTAATTTTAATCTAAATGGCCATATACCACTAGGAAGCAGGATTTATTTATTGAGGTCATTTGGACGAAGTGACCCTTTAAATGAGTGGCAGAGAATTTGTGTGTGTGTGCTGAATATATGGTTCACGAAACTAGGAATATGGAAAAATGTACATTCAGCGGCTGTAATATTCCATTACTTTGATTTTAACAAACAGAACTGGATTTTAATTGTCAGAAGTCTGAATTTGGGGAAGATGGGAAGCAATTATCAATTTTGTGGGGAGTAGCAAGAAAGTAACATAACTAGTAGTGTAACTAATTACTGTTGGCAGAGAACAATAAGTAAAGTAATAACATTACTTTTGAAAAGAGAAACTAGCAGTGAGCAATGAGTAATAAATTACATTGTAACTAGCCCAACACTGGTGATGGCCTTAGCTATTTAAGTCAAACATTCTACATTTGTTTTGTCAAGCATGAGACAGTGTCTGAAAGCAGCCAAAAGTGTGAGGGTTGGTGCGTGATACTGAAGGAGACGCGACAAGCTCCAAGAGTCATTTAGATGTCAGGAGGCAGAGGTCCGGTGGGCTCTGGCCCAATTTAACCCCTGGTCCTAACTATGCACCAAGGTTAGCGCTGCACGATATGGTAAAAAACAATCAAACAATCATATTGCGATTATCTTGACAGATATTGCAGTATGATTCTCAATTAGTGGGAATTATCATTTTTGATTACCAATTAAAATTTTCACTGAGAGAATAATATTAAAATCACGATGATGTGACATTTGTTGGTGTCTATACAAAACAAACATTTTCTTACATCTTAACAAGATTTGTAGGTCAGGGCATCTCTGCAGAACTACAGTACTTTATTTAATGCCGTATGTCACATTTTACCTTTATAAATAAATTGCAGCTTCTCCGATTTGGATATTGCACTTGGCCATATTGCGATTTCGATAATACTTTGATTAATTGCACAGCTTTAACCAAGATCACAAAACTTATTTGGGCATAAAACTTAAAGATTCCAACATTTGATTTAGCTCATTTGTATTCACAGAACTGTACAGTAATGGGATTTTTTTTCTCTTCTTTGATAGTCTCTAATTCGATTGTCAGCAGACAGTCTTTGTCATGTATTCCTCACCTCACTGGAGTCCTCCTCCCCTTTGTCTTCTAGCTGCAGCTGGAACAGGAAGTTCTGTTCCTCCAAGGCGCTGAGCATGCTGGGTAAACGTGATGACTCGCTGTCTATCCGATAAAATGAAGCCATGGTGACCTCAGCTGATTGGTGACTTAAGTAAAAAATGTGAAAACAAAGAAGTGCTTGTTAAGATGATTTCTTATCACTGGGGCCCTTCTTCTCATATAACATACTATGGGGAAATGATTTGACATGTTCTGTGTAAATGAGTAACTTGAGTCGATTGGGGCATATTTTACAGAGTCCTCTACAGCTGTATATTCTCACATTATAACATTCATAGTTTAAATCTCAAGTATTATTCATTCATTCATTCATTCCATACATCATAAATCATTGTTTTGAATTGTAAATCAAATTAATTAATTTAATGGATTTATCGCCCAGCTATAGGACGAACTATCATTTAAAAAGGTCCAGTATGTAGAATTTAGTAGCACAGACTAGTGGTGCAGTTGCAGATGACAACCCCCTTGCCTTACACTCAGTTCAGTTCTGTGAGGAGTTGACAGGACACAGTGGAGAAGTGGTATATGCTGCGATTTCTAAATATATTTCTTTCTTTCATTCATTTTTGCCATGGTTTGGGGTCACCAGTGGAATCCATCGTAGCTGCTGTGAATCTAAGGGAATACAGCTGGTGGTAAGTATTTAGTACAAAAAAGAGATATATTTTCGGTGGGGTATTGATTTTAAGTGAAGCGGCATGAGCTGCAGTTTCTGGCATTGCAGCGAGGGTGTGCTGTAGCGTGCAAAACGCCTTCATCCTGTCTTACCTGATTTGTGCTCCTATTTGCTGTTGAAAACCCAGTCCATTCTAATATGTCTCTCTCTGTATAGCCTCCCTAGATGACTCAGGTGTTCCACCTTCCCGGGGTGTGCACGTTCGGTGTGTATAACCAAGCCAAGCATTTTCAATGCATCAGCACGTTATTTGTGTTTGTTTTTAAGCCCCAGCAGTGACATTTTGGATTTAAGTTAAAACCCATTTAGCCATAAGAATTAAGAAACAATTAGAAATTTTAAATTTATGAAGCAAATACCACTTAGTTCATGTCCCTCATCTGTAGTCTCTATGTTGAGATGCAACAATTAGCTAATTTAATTACAATATGACAGTATCTCAAATTAAATTGTTTAACATAAGTATTACTTTACACCATAATAAAAGTTTTTGTTTTCTCATCATTTGTATGATTTTTTCACCGTAATGCACATGTCTGTCACTTCTGAGTCCTTACCGCCACACTGTACAACATTTTACTGTGAAAGAAAACAAAAGAAATCTAGTTTCTATGGAAACAGAACTTAGCAAGTGAGCACATGGATGACAGGTTGGGCCAGCCACACTAAGGTGACCCTCAAAATCAAGAAAAACTAAATCTAAATGTAATTTCTGCAACACATCTTCACTGCAGCAGTTTTAGGTATAAAGACCTTGTGTGGTTTATATGTAAAACTAAACATGTTCCAGACTAAAATTTTAAATAATATAATGTTGTGTACTTGTTTCTATGCATTAGTGATGGTTCAAATTCTGATTAATAGAGGCAGGTTTTAAAATTTTTATTTGGGAGAGTCAAAAGTGACCGTAGTTGCAGAAACAGCCTTGTATACTTTTACATGTTAACTTTAACCTTAACGCTAACCCTGCTAATTTTTTGTCAGAGTTGCGAACATGTACTTACCAGACATTGTCGACTATGAGAACTGAACCATCTGGCATCATTGGGAGGTAGGATGAGTTATAGTTGGGAAGGATCTTCATATCTCTGAGACACACCTCGTCCTGAGAGCTACAGTTCAACACTGAGGAAAGAGAGGAGTAGAAAAAGGCTGGCAAAACTCATTACTCATCAGCGGTTTGACCAGTCATGTTGTGGAGATAAAGCATCAGCATTTAGGTGGTTTGTCATTGGACAGAAAATTCCAGTTGAGTGTCTGAGAAGACAAACTCATTTCAAAGTAAATTCACAGGCTGGCTCAGAGTAGAGATAGAGTGAGCAGGAGTAGAGAAGTTTTGTTGCACCTGTTGGGGTGGGACAACAGATTTTTTAATTGGTTTGAGGAATTTATTGCGTAACTTTCTGAATAAACGTGCAAACACAACCACGCTCAATTTAAAATTAGTTTCAGGAAACTTTACAAAAACTGAAATGGGGATATTTCTAATGTGGATTGAAATTGATTCTAATACTTATAGATGATATTACAAGAATCTGTGTGTGTGTGTGTG